AACAAACAAACATTGCTCGGAGAAGAAAAAAGCCTACCCATCAGTGACTGCCTTCTCCTGTGTTTTGTTGCACATGTCCCACGAACTTCGTTGCATGTACGCTTTATAACGACTTGCAATGACTTGCAGAACGCCCCTTTCAGGTTTTCAATCGACATCATTTGTTCATCGTGGGTTCACCAGAGCACCTGCGTAAGACATAATTAACCCCTGACTGTTCATATCAGTGACGCACGTCTCACCGCGAATAACATATCAGTGATCTATTATTGTGCTTTCTAAATATCTACAACCATCTTTCGCGTACAAACACTATACAAGACGTGGGATCTCATCCTTAATATATCTAATTTTCGTGCTTGTAGATATTTTTTGCGGCTTGCTTTCAACACCTTTCCGCTTTATGTTGTTCAGAGCAGCAAAATATCTGAATATACCATTTTGATATACCATTAGAGGTAAATGGTTTTTAACTTGAAATTGAATGAAATGAGGAAAGAAGCACTTCAAAGAGGCAAGAGTTTACTTACAAGGAGCTCACTGGAAAGCCAAAGAATTCAGGCGGATTGCCAGTGGCATTTTTGAATAGTTTGTGCAGTTAATTTTTCAAGATTCGTTCACGGTGTCATAGCTAAGCGAACTACGTGATCAGATTGACGATAGTAAAATAATTGCTCCTAGACTTTGCACACACACAAACAATTTAAAATGTCACAGATCAATATCGAGTGTGACAAAAAGTTAAATATAACATAATGAAAATTATGGACAGGAAAACACGTTTTGTCGATTCATGCTCAGAACTCGCGAAATCGTTTTTCCAATGTGCACTCGTAAGGACAAAACGTCAGTACACGGGCAAATATAACGATTTATTGCCCTAGCACTTATTCACTGAGAAAAATCAAGGGTTTCAAAAGCCTTAAACATGATGATATAGTTATACAAGTTTGAGAAGTTTAGAGTTTTCGAAAGAGACGAAATTATTGTAAGATTTCTGTGACAATAGCCATCAAAGACTAGTGAGCAGCGTTGATTCTTGTTTGTTAGAGTTTTACCCTTCTCGTCTTAGTGAGGAATATGACACTGGGGGAACCATTAAGCCCCTGTTTGTACAACACACAATGATTATATATGAATTGATAACGGGGTCAATGTTAACAAATTTCTCTTTTGAAACTGGATTGCCGTAACAGACGCACAGCCAAGAAAGCGTGTGAGAACGTTTGAAGAGCATAATCACTCAATTATTAAGCGTACAAGAAGTAAGCCCTTTCCGTACAAGAGAGCAGAAAATAAGTGCGTATTTCGAATAATAACCACAAGTAGGAATCAGGACAACTTTCGCTTGCTAGTTTAACGCTATTATTAGCATAACTGAATGACCCTTAAGTGCTTCATCAACTAGCCTTTTGTGCTTTTAGATTGGAAAAAAATGTAAGACGTATTTATCGTTAGTAATTATTAAGATTTACAATGAAGTTCCCTGGAAAAGGGCTTATAACAGTTTTTGGAGGTAGTATCAAATTCTATGCGATTTTAGTAATTGGATTTCATAACTTATGCTCAGACATTTTTTACTGATCCGCCATATAATATTTGCTTTTCACTTTTTATCAAGAAAACAGTCCATAAGCTTAGAAATCAGGTCAGTAAGTGAAAAAACCTCTAAATTCACTCATGAAAATAAAATAAAATTACAATGCTAGAATAAATAGCGTAAACCATCATTCGTTTTCTAAGATAACAAAGTTTGCCTTTATTGATTTCAAAATTGAAGTGGACAGTATCATTCTATGAATAATAAATTGTCATGAGTCAAGACTTATTCAATTTGTTGTCTTCTGAGCATTGGGTTTTTATGGGTGCTTTCTTTCCGTGAAAAGCCGGTGTTTATAGACTGTCTGACATTTCCAAATATATATTTGCACGTGTTTTCGTACCTAAGTGAAGCACGCACGTTTTGGGAAAAAAATGTAAAAAAGCCATTGGACCCAATTTCGAAAATTTCGTTTTCGAAACAAGCGCTCCATCACTGCAAAATTGTTTGAAAGAGAATAAAAGAGAGAGACCTGCTGATCCCTTCGTAACAAGTGAGTTGAGTTATCTAAATGATTAGGCGAACTCCATGCATGACAAGTAAACTGATCGTTGATAAAGAAGACACGAACTATGGAAGTGGTCGCTTCATTCTCCAGTCTGAGCATTTGTTCAAAGATACAAGTGAAAAACTTCGTTTGAGATATCATTCTCTTGGGATAAAACTAAGTTAGTTCAACAACTTCGTGACTTCTGTACGAATCGCTTGATTTTAAACATGACGTGTTAATTTAGGGTTGACAATCATCCCAGCTGAGCCGAAAAATCTTAACCTTGATTGAGTAGCGAACGCGGAAATATGTTAACAATTTTTACGAAAATAATCTTGACAAACAAAACTTCAGACACTGAAAAACGATCTCATTGTTTTTCTGACCCTTTCTCAGTTTTGAACCTGTTGTGAAAGTTTTTTTTAAGAACTATTTCAAAGGATCTAGTTTGTTTTTCGCTTTTGCCAGGTTGCAGACAAAGTCAACTTTTCACTTTCTCGTAACACGTAAAGTGAGTTAGACGTGTTAGTGTTCCATTGAGGCTAAAGTGCTTCAGATCCGTGATTCCGTATCACGTCTGCAACTCTTTCCCATTCAAAAATAATACCTTTACGTCAAATTTTCGTATCTTCACGCGTCTGTTCCATCACTTCCTTATGTTTTGCTACGTGATGGTTTCTCTTGACGCCTTTTCCTTCACTTGTCTAGCATTTGAAGCGAAAAACCTCAAGTTTGGCTGTATTTCAATGGCACTCCCTCAAAGCTCTTATTACGCCATAAACTGGGTTTTTACTGCCGGTTTTTAATTTAATTTATTAAGAGAAAACAACGAAAGAAAGAAAACACTTTTACCATCGTTTGTATACTGTGGCGCAATTCACGCATTTTAGCACACGTAAATCGGTGAACTCGTCAAAGCTGTTTGTAACAAATTGACAAACTCAGATGGGTTCTACTAATAAAAAACAAAACACTTCATCCTTCCTTAAATGTTTTCTCGGAAATTTTCACCCAACATCTAACTGTGCCGTCATCTTTAGCTCGCAATATCAGAACTTGGAAAAGGTTATTTTCAACTAGCATAACTAAGTAGGTTTGCTCTGAAATTGAAAACACTTTAGAACGAAGAAATTGTATAACATTCTACTTCAAGAGCTCGTGAAGTTTGTTATTCCTTGGATCAGCTAAGTTTCCATGAAAATCACTATGCTAATAGTTCAAGATTTAGTGCGTTGGTTCGAAAGCCCGCAACAAGGAAAAGTTAGGCGTTGTCAGGTAACCGCTTTTGTTGGACGTGTTTTCCTTGATACGGACATGGGATTTACCTCGTAATTTTGGTTAATCCTGAACGGCCGATAATGACTCGAAAAAACTGTACGTGCTTTGGTGCTGCCCAGACTGATTAACTTGTAACAATATCAGTCCATCAAAGATATTTCACCATGGTGGGCAAGTGCTGTCTTTCTTTTATAATCACCTCGAGATTGCATGTCTAAGAGCTAGAATCCACGCTATTTTTAACACCGGCAATTTGTTAGTGGATTGTACCCTGAGCGATAAAGGTCATAAGGTTTTCATTTGCTGTTTAACTTAAGCTAAGTATTATTTAATCGCTTTTTCTTGCATGTTCGCCTAGGGTAAAAGAAAGCATTTGTTGTGAACGTATGAATGCTATGAATGCATATATTAAATAGTCATCGTGGTCTGAAAGTAAGAAGCTTGTGGAAAGGCGGTGTGTATTATGTTATTGCATACTCAAAGATAACAGATACATGAAAGAAAGGGTGCTATTTTCGAGCGAAATTCCATTGCTAGCTTCAGCAATGTGAACAGCCAGCTGTCTCAGCATGGCTTACAGTTGCCTCTTTAGGGCAAAGACACGCGAGGTTTCTTTGTCAACGCTTAGCAAACCGGTGTCTTTTTTTTTCGGTCTACGTGAGCTGAGAAGGCTTTTGATTTGTTTACGTTCTTCTGCACAGTCATGCATGTAGAGCAATGGGAGAATCAAACGTGATCCTGACCTTCCAACACGTGGATTGTGGAAAATAACAAGCTTCGCGTGACTTGACCTTCGGTCCCCTTATAGATCGCGCAGATCCAGGGGTATCTATCCAAAGCCCGGGATGGTGCACACATGCGATTTGCCAGTCTCGCTTCTATTCTAGACACTAAATATCTGCCCACAGATAAGCAAGAAAAACAGCTGTGAATGAGTGTGTACCCTAAACTGCAAAACAAATTAAACGTCTTTTGTGAAGCGTAACCGACTAAGCCACCAATGGCAAAATGTCTCGTGCGCAAGAACGGGTTTGTGCGTCGAAATATCCTTTTTGCAACTTGATGCAACGGTTTCGAAACCTCCACTTCAGATTATCACGTAATACAGGGCAAATGAGCAAATATTAGCTTTTCGAGAGTTCGACTTATCGCCATGGTACCAAACAAACAAGGTTAGACGAAAACTAAAATAAATCAGGACTGTCTAAGGAATATGCTGATGTGCCCTCGTTGATTTTTCAAGTGGAACAAAAAACGTGACTCGCTGCCAAACATCACCGCGTATGTTATGATTAGATTTGAACTGATTTCAACACGTGGAGCTTTCAAAACTGCTTTCATTTTGCAATCTGATTATTTTGCGCGTTGAAACACATTTTAAACAGCACTGCTCTAACAGCGTGATTTTGCTAGAGACTCTTGGATCCGCCTGCAGGTGGGCGTTCAAATTTGAAGTAATGACATTATTAATCAACCCGGCGCTATTCTTTTGGATGAATGAAATTTCACGCTACGCGGAGATCGGAGTTTCTAAATTTATCCTCAACCGAGACAGCCGTAATTAGACGCGTGTAAACATGCTAGGAACGTATAGGTTGTCACGTAGACGGGGTCTATATAAGGACATACTTTCTTGTCTGTTCTGTGGTCAGACACTCGCTAGGAGAACGATCTGTGAGCAACGATCCGATCCAGCAAACGAGAAGAAAAGTCACACCGATTTTTAGAACCAACTAAGGTATGCTCGCTAAAATTTTATGCAAACAGCACCCATCACTGAACAAACTTATCGCAAACTTTTTAGCGTGACCGCACAAAAAGTTCTATCGAATCCTGTGACCTTACCCGACTGGGTTCAGGTAATGTTGCTATCACCAGATCAAACTTTGCTTCGTACACCAAAGGATTTTGTGGATTTACTTCTTTCTTTAAAATAATTTTGATCCTTTTTGAGATGATTAGAAATTAACCTCTAACTCGTGTAAACAACAAGCAAACATAACTTTACTTTAGCAGAGTGTTTTTTTTCAGTCCTTTTACCGCTCAGTTTCGCCTTGTAAACGCCCCTCTGATCAAGGGTACCGATTCAATTGAACAAAATTTAGCATTTGATTTTCTTATACTGTAATCATTACTGCCAAAGTCGAAGCCATTTGTTACAAATTCCGTGTGCATGTCTTTAACGAACCGTATATTTTACCGGCTCCCTAGTCTAAGAACAGTTCGAAATTTCTCGAAGTTATTCAATGTGTTTACACTATGTAATGATTACATTCCACTATTTACATACTTTGAAAACCTAGCTTCCAAATCGTGAACAGTAGATGAAGAAATGTGGACAATTTTGCGTTCATTTTGTTCAATTTTGCGCTTTTCTCAGGGCATTTGTTGTTTTAAATATAGTTAATGGCTTACATTCAATATCTTTGTTTCGTTCAAAGCTTTCGCAAACAGGGAAGTACATCTGTTATACACGATTTGATGTGAAAGAAAGAGCAAATAGAAACTTGCATCATTAAGAATTTACAAAATTTTATGCGCTTCTCGGAAAATCTTAAAAGGTGGAAATGTTTTTAGGGCTTGTAATACAGCTTGAGACTTCTACTTTGTTATATCTCATTCAAGGCTGCGCCACCGATAACATCTTGTTGTATGTGGCTACCTCGATATTCTAACAAAGGTTTTGGTGACAAAATCTTTTTTCCGGAATAGTAAGATTCCAGCTGATATAGAATAAATCTCCTCATCGTATTGTTAAGTTTAAGTAAAGGAATTTTAAACTTGTTGCCAGTTCTCGAAGAGTTCATTACACATGATCATAGCTTCGGTTTAATTCCGGATTTGTCTCAATTCCTCACCAATATCTTTTTCTTCTTTTTCTTTCTTTTTTTTTTTTTTTTATTTGAATTGACGTGTTCGATCCAATGTGAAAGATCGAAACTGGAGTAAATTCCTTCGGGGCCAATGACTACAAATCAAATTGTTTGTTCAGTTTAGCACAGGAAATAGTCTCGTACAACGTTGTACGTTGAAAAACGTGATTTATACGCTCATGGCACCAAAACGGACAGATTTAGACATGGTCAAACTAAAGCTGATTAGTGCCTTTATGTGACAGCTACATAAAATAGTTACGTAATACCGGTGTGATAATGTGAACTCTGAAGTTTGATCTGGAAGCGCGTGGCTATTCACGTGATGTTATTGTCGACACAAATCAGGGGTCAGGATTAAAAATCAACGAACGAATTCCTTCGTCATAACGCCATAATTTCAAAGACACCATACTGTCTATGATTGGCTAGTTAGAGGCCATGTGTTTTGAGTAGAACGTGATCAGTGCCTGATAGAATAACCAGCGAGCTCTTTTTCGTGTTTTTGTTACGAGCGCACTTTTACCTTACCTTTCATCCCTTAAAATGGTTTCTAAAATGATAGACATCGTGTGAAGTGGGTCCGAAGATCAAGAAAGAAGAAGAAAAAAAAAAAAAAACTTAAGTGGATTCAACTGCTGTCGAAATTATCTGTTTGGAGTGTTTCAGAAATACGGATACATTTGTTTCGACATAATTATTCATGAGGACCCAATTTGTAAAGGCTGTGCTCTTTTGTTTGTTTTCCCATTTTCCAGAGGTCGATGCAGCAAGGCAATTGAAATATCGTGGTACTCGAGAAATACTTGGTACATCTTTTAGACAGTTGCAATGTTTCTCGACGTTCTATAATCGTCTAAGTGGCCTTTAATGTAATCTAATCGTTAATTGGCCCGTTAGTAAACTCCAAAAAGGTTAGGAATTCATGTTACATCAGCCAGTGTTGTTTCCAGTGTCAATCTATCTAGCAGATACCTTCCATATTGAAAGGTGAACAGTTTGTGTAACATTAACTTGAAGGTGGACCAGCTAACAGCTATGTGGCCGCTTCGATGGCGAATTGAGGTAACTAAATATAACTCGATAATAACACTTTTCACGAAGGTCGCGTGTCGATAGGGAAAAAAAATACGTTATCCAAGGCGAGGTATTCATATTTAGCTCATAATGGTACACCTCTGACCTTTAAAGCTGTAAACATTTTAAGCTCTCAGATCATAACCAGATTGTCGCGACGAATAATTTCACAGTTCATTGGAGCTATAAGTATCATTTTCACAACAAAAATGCGCGGGTAAATGAAAATGAAGTGCAAGAGACTGGGTACGTTTGAGATCGCCTCGCTTTCGCTCCCGATTTTCCCTCCTTTTTTCGTTTTCCATTTACCTTCAGTTTAATGAATGGAAATCTGGCGAAGAACCCTATAACCCGAATCAATTAGTTTTAAGGGCATATTTTAAGTTTTGCTAAATTTTTTTTTGGGTAAGCTAAAAGTTACCTAAAAACTTTTAGAAGTAGAAATGTTATTGATAATAATCGGTTTGTAATCTTCTGTTGCAGAAAACCTGAAAGATGATTCTAGAAATCGCATTTGTCATCGTTTGTGTTACAACGATCGCTTTCTTTGTCCACCGCGCCCATGCGCAGAAATCAAAGAACCTGGCCCCTGGCCCCAGGCCTTATCCCCTGATTGGCAACATGCCTCGTCTGGCGGGAAAACCAGGTCACTTGGCCATGACTGAGCTAGCTGAGGAGTATGGGAAAATCTATACACTCTACCTACCCGGCGGTCAGCGGTGTGTCGTTATCAACTCTATTGATCTGGCCCGAGAGGCGCTACTCACCAGGAGAGATGAATTTTCAGGGCGGCCTGTGACCTTTGTTGGAGACTACTTGTCCCGGGGAGGCCGTAATATCATCTGCGCCGACTTCACGCAATCAATGATCCTTCTGCGAAAGATTGCACACTCAGCACTGCGCATGTACGGAAGTGGCTTGAAGCATCTCGAATGTCTTATAAGCAGCGAAGTTGATCACATGGCCAAACGCATCTCTTCCCAACAGGGGAAACCTTTTGACCCAAAGAAAGAAATTCAACTGACCATTCTGAACGTCATTTGTGCTGTTGTTTATGGGGAAAGCTACGACATTGAAGACGAAGAATTCCTGCGGATAATTCAGTACAATGATGATTTTATCAGACTATTTGGAAGCTATAACATCTTAGACCTGCTTCCATGGCTGAGATTTCTCCCACTGCAAGACATGAAAACCCTCCGCGAGTCTCGCCAAATCAGAGATGACATCCTCGGCGCAAAATATCAAGAACACAAAAAGAGGTTTGAAGAGGATAGCGCAAATAACAACTTTGAAATCGAAGATTTGACTGACGCGCTCCTGAAGGCCTACCACGAGGCGCAGGAAGAAGACGGAAAAGTATCACAGTTGCTGACTGAAGATCATCTGGTGATGACAATGAATGACGTATTCAATGCCGGTCTAGAGACGTCAGCAACAACACTACGATGGCTGCTCGCTTTCATGGTTACCTACCCAGAAATCCAAGCACGTGTGCATGCAGAGTTAGATGACGTCATTGGCAGTGGCCGCATGCCGTGCTTGAACGATCGTGGGAATCTTCCATATTTGGAATCCACTATTGCAGAGGTCCTCCGCATCAGAGCTATAGTGCCACTTTCTCTGCCTCACAAGGCAACATGTGATACAACTCTCGGAGGCTACGATGTACCTAAAGACACAATGCTTATTTCAAACATATGGGCCATGCACCACGACAAGGATGAATGGCTGAATCCCGAAGTGTTCGACCCATCTAGGTTCTTGGACAAAGACGGAAAGCTTCTTGGCTCAGAGCGAAAATTCTCCGCCGCTGGAGTACGCAGCTATTTACCATTCAGTGCTGGTAGGCGCGGTTGCCTAGGAGAATCGCTGGCGAAGACCGAAATGTTCTTAGTGGCGTCCAGGCTCCTACATCAATTCAAATTCGAAAATCCCGTTGGTAAACCTCTTCCAGATCTAAGCGGGGAGGTGGGCGTTGTGTTAATGCCAGGCCCCTTTGAAGTGTGTGCCAAGGATAGAATGTAAACACCGCAGAATGAACTCAATTAGAATACAATTTTCCCTGTTCCTAAAGACTCCTTTTTAATTGCTCTGATCACTAATAACATTATGAAAATAACAATGATTTTTAAAAGTACTTAGTCAATGAAATCAGCTATAAACAATTCAAACGGAAATTACTTTTTCTAAGTAACACTACCTGAATATATTTATGATTCCTTCCTGCGTCAGATGGAAAAAGAAAATCTTTTTAGGTGCAATAGTAGAATTTTTAAACAAAAATGTTTTCAGTCCTCCATGAGGCATAGTAGTATTTCACATTTGGTGAATAATCTGAATTATAGAATTGCGTTTTACTTTTTAGTATATTAGGTCTAGACAAAACAATTTTTTGTTGGCTAAAAATACATTTATCAATGTTAGATACGGCTTAATTTACGGTGGAGCGCGAGCTCGGAAGAGATTTTACTGGGATCCCTGTGACTCCATTCGTTTTCAAGAAAATGTAGACTTTAAAGAGAAAAAAAAGGGAAAGGATAAAGAAAAAGAGCCCAGTCTGCTCGCAGTTTTTCAATGTTTACCAACTCCTTCGGTTTTGTTTAGTTTAAATTGCGCATCGTATATTCAACATTTTACACCGGTATATAGCGTTGTTACTCAGATCATAGAAGTGCTAGCTAACTAAATTACGTACTCCAAGAAAATTCAACACATTTTTAAAGGTTCATAACTAAATCACCTACTACATATGTACTTTAATGTATATTTACCCACCAATTGCCTGTCGGTTGCAATGTATAATAACTGAAATACAATAAGTCAATTCATTTTGTACGTTTGAAGAATTAATTCTTAAAAGTAAGAAATTTAGCTCCGCCAAGAGCCAGTTTCTTTTCAACAAATACTTGCAGATGTAGAAACCCCCCCCCCCAGGCCCCTGCTAATTTTCGTCTCCTTACGCCTCATGTGAACCACTTCAAAGCTTCTAAGTCAGGCTAAAGTACATCAGTATTTTCCTGAGGGCCAGTCATTATTTAACTAGGAGAAATAGGAAAAAATTGGAAATTTAGCAGTGGGCATTCTACGAGGTGGCTCTTCTTGTCCACTTTGTCCAGATCGAATTGGAATTCAGAATGTTAGTTTTTGCGGAGGGGGGGGGAGGGGAGGAAAACTAGAGGATCCGGAGAAAGACCCTTGGAGCAAGGACGCGAACCAACAACAAACTCAACCCAGATCCGGGAATCCAACCCGAGTCACTGACTGCGGTGGGAGGCGAGCGCTCTCACCACTGCGCCATCCCTGCTCCCCATCTATTGTCTGGGGGAGGTAGTGTGAGGATTTAAGGGCGATCACATGGTTAACAAGGGGAACGGACCGGAGCTGCGATCAGTCGTCGCCAAAGGAGAATAAAGGAGGACTAGAAAATTGACCGCCACAGAGTCTTAGGGAGGGAATGGGTAAATTTTATCACGAAACAAACAAAGTCCTCTTTTGCTCTCCTCTTTCCCCCCTTCCCGCAAAAAAATTGAAAGGAATGTTAATTTATACAAGAAACTCCTGGCTTCGAATTTCAACTCAATTGCTCGTGTTTTTTTTTCTCCACAAGGAAAAGTTTTGAATTTGGCTTTAAGAAAGTCATTCTTTTCAATCGAGTGCTTTTACGGCAATTTTGGTCGACATCAGCCTTCTATCAGGCGATATCTTCTTTAACTATCGAGAGCGCATGCGTTTTTGTAAATCTGATTGTCGGACTGGTTTTCGTACACCACGTTGATGAGGTGATATCGATGAGGTGCTTTAAATAGTATAACCGCCTGATTAAAGGGATATCTAATGATGACAGCTTAGGCGTGTGAAACAGCGCCGCTCTCGTGAGTACGAGAAAACTCTGCTGTCTGAAGCTTTTTATTTTTACGTAATATTCTTTTTTTTAGCCAAATAACGGTTGACTGTAATTATGCAAAAGGTGATGAAGCGACACTATACGCTTTGGAGCGTTAACAATTCATGCCACTAAGTTGAGAATTTCTGATGAAGATGCTTTCGAATTATTTCAATGGTGACTTCCACACTGATTTCTCTACAGTTCTCTAGTATAGGATGGTAGTTTAATCAAGTGTCAACACAGTCATGCGATGGTTCGCCACTCGGTTTGCCATTTCAAACCTACGCTATTGCAATTTTCTTTCTTTCTAACGGCGCTTACGAAAATCCATTTTGCTTTTTTCGTATAAAACAAAATTTTACATCAGATGGCAGTGAGGATGTAATCGACTACAAAAGCTTTTGGCGAACTTTTTCCTTGAGTCATCGTGATTTCTTATTTATCCAGTATAACTAAAGAAAGGCCTGGTAACTAATTTCGTTAGACCGGCAGCTCGAGCCCATTACCCATGGGTAAAGGGCTCCTGGCCCCTGGCTAAGACCCAGTTATGTTCTTCATGCTCAGGCCAAATGAGGAAAACATTTAGAATTTCTAATCAGTAATCGATAAGATCGAATACATTTTACACCTCATACAAAATATGCAAAGATTTTTAATGCAAAACTATACCAGGGAACTGTACAAAGCTTCTTATTTCTTGATCTTCGGCCGTGTTGACTTACGAAACCCTGCTTTAGTTCCGCATGAGAACATTCTTTTGTTCGAAACCATAGTAACAATTTCCCGCCATTGTCTATTTCGAATTCAGCACCATTCGTTTGTTTTTCCAACAAAGGACGCCATGTTTCACGCTGTGCTGAACGCATTGTCTGAAATAATAATCTTTTCAGGCTTTTGCGATCCTCGTGGAAAGAAGACATTTGGCTTGAATGGCGGTATGAACTGCAATTTGCGCTATTTTGATTTCAAGCTGCGATAGATGATTTAAGATTTCCGCGAAGCGAAGGTAGATAGGAAAGGAGAGAATCAAAAAGTTGGATCGAAGAATGTGTCTTCCCCAAGTAATGTTTTTCCTATAGTTTCCTTGTGCGAAGGACAGGACACGATGGTGGTATAATTGACATAACCAGTGCTTTACTTTTCAATGGACAACAGCTTTACTTTTGCCAATCGAAGAAGACGAGAGAGAGGACTCGGATCTAAGGTAAGAGCATGATTTCTTTATCAGCGATTGGCAAGGAAGATTTGTTGCCGCACGCAGAAATATGTCCTTAGATTGCGGTTTGCTCTACTAAACTGTGTCATAAAATTGTCGCGCTAAATGCGATTTAATGACATGAATCATTTATAGTTTTTCCCCGATATCAAGAGGTATGTACACGGATTTGAATTGTTTATAAATCTCAGTTAAAAGTCAAATGGTTAGCGATAGAGTTGCGTTCATAAATATTTTCAAGCTTAGATGGCTGTAATTAATATTCAATTTTGTTTACTTCCTCGTTAATTAGGCTGTTTTGAGCGCCGTTAGAAAACTTGTAGTATGATATTTGACCGCCAGCTGAGGCACGATTAAAAATAAAGAAACCTTTAGTCACCCAAATCGTAACATCGCGCTTCCCATATTCGGTTGCTGTGAAATACATTTGTTGTGAAAAGCAGTTTGTAGCTATAGCTGGTGTATGCAGTTTTTTTTTTTCAACTCACATCGGATTCGCGTGTGACTTTTTAAAATCCTACTTTGTTCATAAGGTCTTGGAAAAAATCGATAAAGTTATCAAGGTAATTTTATAAAAAATTTCGAAGAATGGTAAAGAAAGCGTATTTGTATTTTAAAATAGTCTGGAATTTTTTTTCATAAAATAACAGGGTTATTTGATTAATCTCTCTATTGTCATTTTAATTATTTCAAATTATCTTGGTAATTTTTGTTAATTAAGGTACTTTGGCTTCTCTATACAGGAAGCAAGGAGTTAGTGTACAATTCTCAAGAAAATATGCTAATAAATTTGTAATACATGACTAGTCAATTTCATTTTGATCCAGTACATGGACAGGATTTTCAAACATCAGAAAATTGTGATGCTCAATATCTCTGGAGCAGTTCAGTGTTAGGAAGAAATGGCCCAAGTGATTACATGGCTAAATATTTCAATTAATTACGAGATTTATTTTCTCTTTATAACATGCAGTAAACCATTACTGTACTGATTTTTTGTATCTAAAAATTCTGTCAGTCTTGATCAGAGGCAAAGTACTATTTGCAGAGAGATTTTATCTTGAACCTCATCAGACACCAAGAAATTGATAAGAAGTAAATTTACAAGGAAAGAGTATTTATTACTTTGTTCTGATTGCAATTGAAAATTTTCAATTTTTTGTTTGTTTGAGGCTGATTTTCAAGTATCTTTGAAATTAAAATGTAATGTGTCTAATCCAGGAAGAGTATTTCACAAAATCTTGGCTTTATCTCATTAAATAGTTTCTGTAGATTTTGTGAGTTGCTGTAACCAAGCTAAACATCATGTTGTATTGATTGGTGATTAAGGAACTTTGTAATGCAAGCAGTGCTAATTTATACAAAAACCATATATCAACACCCAAGACTTTTACAATGCATCTGCTTAATTGATACATTTATCTGAATAACACCTATTTCAATGTTCACTTAATTCTGTCAAAGGAAATGCATTTCAGGATTACTAGATTTCTTCCAAGCACACAACTTAACTTTTTCTAGTTAAATTGCTGTGTCCTCCTTTTGTAGAAATGAAACGTGACAATGTTCTGTTCTATCTTATTTCATATATGACAGTTTACACCTAGCTGTCAAAACTTTTAATGGAGAGTCAATATCAGGTTTTTTTGTCTTTGATAATTTGGGTTGCAAATGAGTTTTAGAACACTGTAATCAATGGCTTCCACTCTGACTTAAATAATCAAGAACATAACATTTATCTTGAACAATCTTCCCATCACTGCATAATTTAAAGTGTCATTGATGTCTGTACATGTGAAAGCAAATGTTCTCCTCTTCTAATTTTTAAAATGGTAGCATTTGGTGAGTACTGTTCCTTTGTTCTCTGTACTATAATGAACCAGCTGAAATCAATTGTTGTTTGGCAACTGGTAAACATTTAGCTTGGCTTGTTAGGCTTGGAAGTCATGCAATATCATTTCTAAGATTTCGTGCTATTATCTGTTTAATTTAAGCAACATTTCTTGTGCCCTTATGGTGAAAACCTTACCAATTGTAACCTTGTTTCTTGTTCATATGTACTACATAACCTTCTTTTAGGCCGAGTTGTCATTCCGAAACTTCTTAATAGGCAAATTTGCGGGGAGACTTTTTGGCTTTAATTTCCTTATCTTGGAGTAGTTTTGTCATGCTGGCAATGAACATTTGTAAGATTAAATGATAGTGTACACCTACATAGATGTTCAATATGCAGGACAGTGAGTTAGTAAATTAGCATTTTTGGAAGAAGTAAAGGTGTTTAACTCCCTTGTATTACAACTTATTGTAATCAATAGTATCCACTAACATTCGCATACTGTACAGGGTACAATAATGTGTTTCATTTTTTGTAAGGATCAGAGGTAATATTTGTCTAAAGCTCGGATTACTACAGTTGAATCATAATTCTCATACCCTAATTGTTTGTCAAAACTCCTTGGCTGATAGTAGATTCAAATGAAATCTACTTTCCCTTTTGAGATATATGTACACGTAAACCGAGTGATTTACATCAAAGCCAATTTTCTATTCCCAAGCTTTAAGGGAGGTTTAAAATTTTGTTTTCTACTGCACGTACCACAGCTCATGGAAAAATATAATACTTGAAACATTCATTTGGCATTGACTTAGTTATATTTTGATGTCCATGAAACTATGTTTTTAATGTTAAGTTGGTATCTAAGCTTATTGAATATTAAGTTACCAAAGGCAACTTTGATTCCCTAAGAAAGCCTCTTTTCAGAGAATCATTTACAGCATGTTTGATCCTCTAAAATAAATTTCTTAAGGCAGATTTATTTTCAGAAAAATGTTGCATATCTAGCATCAGCTTATATTGCGTAAGGCACTGTCATCTTGTTTGATGTGTGCATTTGTTCCCTGGGCAACATTAGTCATCAATGCTCAGTCTGGTTAGTGCTCTTTTCTCATGTGTGACTTGATATTTGTAGATGTTACTTCATGGTGTACAGAACACAAATGTCTGTGATGGTGTTTTGGTGTCTAACTCACTTACAAACAGCTCAAAGCTAAATGCGAATGGATAACTTAAGCGCTTGTTGCTACATGTACATGTATTTTGGTGTGAATCAATCCCTTATATCAGTCTGTTTCTTACATGCTTTTGTATGCTCAAATGACAGTGTAATTATCTTAAGTCAGTTGAGATAGGAAATCCTTGACAATTCTTGGCTACTACAAAATTTACCTACATCTGTGGTTTACTTTGGTTGATTCGTGCTACTAATAACTTGAAATAGTGCTGTGATGTTCAAAAGTAATACACATTGTTTTTCAACCCTCTTGTATGTAAGTAGTCAATAAAAACATCCAATCTTTGACAGTTCTTGACTACTTCAAAACGTACATACAGCTGTAGTTTACTTTAGTTGATTCATGTTACCAAGAACTTTAAATAGTGCTGTGATCTTCAAAAGTAATAGGCATTGTATTTCAACCTTGTAGGTAATGGTATAGTCTGTATTTTATTGCTAAATGAGGAAAATTTGATCCGTTAAAAACTGCAATTATAATTGCATTACTTCATTTAGTTATTTACCAGATGTTTTTTTTTTTTTTAACAGAATGGCTCTAAAGACGCTAAACTGGATTTTCATAAAAAGAGAGGTATGAAATTCAATGTATTAAATGTATATTTTAACAATTTGTGAACATTTACAACAAAACCTGCATAAATAATCAGCCAAAACACCACCAAATTAAACAACTTGTACAGAAAAATCATCAAGGTGCAACTCTCCAACAAAATCCAGTATAGAAACTACATGCACTTACTCTCAAGACTGGTTTTCAGAAGTTGGAAAAATCCCAAAAAATCCCAGACAGCTGGAGATAATTTATTGTTTCCAAGCAATCTCAGATTTTCCAGACTGATGAGAGTTTGTTAAATTGAGAAGTTCAATGTTTCCGTTTTCTTGATGCTTCCCAGATTTCTGCAATGGTTGACAATCATTCACAATATGAGGCTTAACCTGTTGTCTAGTTTCTGTAAACTCCAGAAACCCTTAGTCACCATGAATGAAATCCAATATCCTAAGAATCTGTGACAGGTGGCTTGCTAATTTTCAATGTGCATGTTTCCGACATACAGTTGTATGGAGATCAGACTTACATGATTGTACAATTTTAGTGTCACTTGCAAGTGAGCCAACATTTTTTTCAGAAAGTGTTGAAAATTACATATTGCTTAAATTCCTTGCATTCACTCTTAAATTGTTACATGAATTGTTGCTGTTGCTGTTGTCATTATATAATAATAACTGCTCAGACAATTAAATTTTTTGGCAACTGACAGTTTACTCTTTTATTCCTTGTTGCAGTGAGTCTGTTCTGTAATATATCAAAGATGACATCATAATGTGGCAAGAACCAAAAAGTGGTCACTGATGTCACATTTTGACAGTCATTTTCTTCGATCTGTTACTGAACAGACCCACAGCAACATTTAATCTATTTGGTTACTTTATATAATAACGAAGCAAAAACATTGTCAATGATGACTTCATCTGCATATTTCATGTTTCAGTGCTTGACACTAACAGTAGCCAACTAGCCATAGACTGGTAGAAATTCAGTTTTGACTAGTGGTTTTCGATTTCCACCAGCCAGTTTGGCTGTTAAACAAACTAAAATTGTCACAGCATCTAAGTTGTCACTAGCCACTTGGCTAGTAAGTTGAAAAGTTAGTGTTGAGCGCTGATGTATGCAACTGTCCTCCAACAGATGATATGCAACCAATATGTATGCATCATTTAGCTTATTTATATAAAATTATCTCCTATCTCATTGCTACAGCAGCTTGCGATTTCCCTCATGACCCTTGCTGGGAAGCCTCAATACAGGATCTTCCATTAACTGATGAGCAGTGCGCACATCAATCCAGCAAAGAGAGCTCAGATGAAGAATGGTCTGATTTCTCTTTTTATGATTTCCCAGAGACCTTAAAGGTTGGTGAGGTTTGTACAGTCGTGTGTTGCTTCTGTTATGTTGCTAACATTTTGCTTCAGTTTCTTATGTAAAGTACTTTGATGTTATTATACAGGATGAGTTACATATTTTGTTTTTGTTTTTTTCAGGACTCTTTCCATAGGCCAGTTCATCCTGCAGAACACATGATACCCACTCACATGGTATCTAGACCTCCATATCATGCTACTGCTAAAGGTAGGTAAAGAGTAAAGCCTGCTTATGATCCAAGTGGCCCATCTGGCCAGCACTCTGGTTTCCATAGCTTGAAGCAACAAGGAGTATTTCTATTCCCCCCTGGATGGAATACTAGTCCATCTCAGGGTTACCCCTAGCATTATAAATTTGGGGGTACCCATTTATTCTCCCAGGTGAACAGAAGCACTTTGAGAGTAAAGTGCCTTGCCCAACTAAAGAACAAAACACAATGTCCCCGACCAGGGCTCTAACCCAGACCACTCAATCCAGAGTCGAGCACACTAATCATGAGGTCACCATGCCTTCAACTGCTAAAGGTGCGTTACTAATAATAACTATGGTGAAACTATGCTCAATGGTTAATTGACACAATAAGTGTAATTATCAGCTGTGTGTTTAAGAAGCTCCTTTAACTGCTGCCCCTTATCTTGGCCCTTGTTGTTTGAAGGGTGGACAAGTAAACTGTAACTCAAAGATGTTGCAGAATGCTAGACATCATCTCTCTCAATGACTTTCAAATTTAAAAATTTTTATGGGGAGCATACCCCAGCCCCCTCCCCCCACCCTAGAAATGCATTTTCTTTCCTGCAACATGCCTTGCCAGCTATGCAACCATTATTCACTTAAGCCGCCTGCCCAGTTCAGATCATGTGTCTATTATATATTCTTATGACAACAAACCTGTACATGTTTTGCGCAATAACACAACTGAGTGACCCAACCAGGTCTTGAGCCTGAACAATTCGATTCAGTCCATTGAGCTCATCAGGGTCATTGTGTTGCGCCTGTGGGCAAGACACTCTGCTATCACAAATTCTTCTCTCCACCTGGAAAATAAATACATAGCAGTGATTAAAGGAAGCCTTAAAAAAAGTGCATGGACTTATGTACATGTGGCAATACTCTTGGTCACTTGATCATACAGAGGCTGGAATAATCTTTTTTGCAAGTTGTTAACCCTTACGGCTTGAGTGGGGAATTCCGTTTGTAAATAAATAATGAATCATTTACATTTTTCGATTACGATGTCGCATTAATATGTTGTGTATGGGGAAGGTCGGTTCAAACGGTGATTGAAACGAACCATTTTACTTGTCGTAGGTGGCCGTGAAGTATTTTAGAGACTGTACATTGTATCCTATTCTTTAAAACAATTAACTGTCAACAATAGAAAAACAAAAGGCATAGCTAATACATACTAATTAAGCAGATTTGTCAAGCTTAAGCGCGCACGTGCGAAACTTTAACGCACAGATTTTTATTTATTCGTACTTACATGCGATTTTTGGCGCGTTTTATGCGCTTTTTATGCGCGTTTTATGCGCGTTTTTTGGTTAACGTATACGTGAGCAGTACTATACTTCATGTTACAGTGCCTTGTTTTTGTTTGCACTTCAGCTCATCGAGTGCACACATTGCTAGACACTGAGGTTAGCAATCCATTTAGCATAACAATGGAAGACTCAGCTAATCAATCACTGTCACAAGGGACTGCATCCCAGAACAGTAATCAAACCACCCAAAGTACCACAACAAGTGGGAACAGTACGACGACTGCTTGTCAGGATGTGATTCCCTCAAACAAGGCATTTGATGGAAGTTTATTTTACAGACATTCTGACTTAGTGCTTAGTGGTAAACACAGAAAAGAGACTAGATCTGAAAAGCTTCAACAGAATGGAGGCCTTGCTGTAAGTACTTCCAACGCGTCAAGCTTGCTAAGTCAAGCTTCAATGAAAGGTCACCCAGCCATTCGTGTTGTTCCATCTGAGGTCTCTGTGCACAAACGGTTTAAAACGGGACAAAGTGGTCATGGTGGTGTTGATAAAAGTGAAAATGCCAGCTATTTGGGGAGACTCAAAAAGAGTTTCCCATCGAATAGAAACATTACAGCTGGTTCCAGTTCTCAGGAAATACTTGCTAATAAATTTATGCAGCGATCAAGGGAAGTCTTGCACAGGAGGGAAAAGCAGAAAGATGTTCCGGGAAGTACATTCAAAAAAGAACATTCTTCTAAATCGGTTTCATTTGCAAATTCTGTAAAGGGCATTGAGAAACAAAGCAAAACATCTTCATCTGGTAAAGAAGAGGTAAAAGGTCATTTGAGAAACAGCAGACCCAAGGAAGGACATGCTCAGAATGGCTTCTCTGATCAGCGAGAGCATACCGTACAGAGCAACGTGGTGTTAAGTGGAAGGCTCGGCTATAGCTTTAGTGGATCTGGATCACAAAACAGTGCAGTGAAGGAAAGCTTTGATCAAGAACCAAGAGAAGAAATTACGATGGCTGATGGGAATGGTCTGAGTAAGGAAGATGGCAAGCATGGTGACTCTTATGATATTGCCCTTCCACCCTCCCCTCCCACAAGAGATACGAACCAGACACAACGGAGTTCACACTCGGTTCAGTTGTTGTCTATGTATGGTGAGCAAAGCTTGTTTGAATCAAATCTGTCCAGGAATTTAGCCTCACCACCTAGACAATCCAATGTCAGTTTGGGATTCAGTGGAAGTAAAACTTTGTCAGGAGCGTCACTCAGATCATCAGGGAAATCATTTATCCAGCAAACAAACAGTAAAGTGGTTCTGAGTTCAAGGCCTTACTTAATGTCGGGAGAATTAAGTAGGGACAACAGTCTCACAATCGAGGAGTTGTTAAGCAGCGGAAGTGTGAAGTCGAGTCCTGAGAATTCACCGCCTTCCAAGTTCACTCCTCAGTTTGAGAAGAGTAGTAAAAGAGAACATTCTCTTGACGATTACCTGGATAAAAGCGGAAATCTGCTACAGGATCTCAGGTAATATGAATTTAAAATTTGAAAGCTCTTTTTATTTTGGATCCCTCATAAGGAGTCAGGTCTCCATTTTCGAAATACTCCCAAACTTTTTACTTCTACTCTGATTCTTATAGAAAACCCTAGCTCCAGAAGTAAGGATGCGTGAATTTATCTTATTTTATCCTGCGAGCAGGCTTTTATTAATAGAGAGACCTAGCACCGCGTTAATGGAAACGTGAACGGCAAAAGTGACCACGATTTTCCAGCTATTTTTTCACGTTTGCTAGTCGCGGTTTGCCGCCCTAATGTGAAAGTAGGTTGCTTCGTGTTTGCCGTGTACGTAAATTTTTCTTTACTGTTTCTCTCACAGAGTAGAAGTTAAATTGCCGGAAAAATGCACCAAAACTATTTCCTGTAAGATAGACAAGGGAAGATGAAGTTTCCATATTGAAAATACCTCAAATGCCGCACTTTTCCTCGGCAGACAGCTGCAAGAGCTCGCTTTAACTCATGAGACGGCTTCCAGTCCATTCCGAAGTTACGTAAGCTCACGCGAAGCAAAAGCAGTAAAGTTCACGCTATTTTACGTGAAACGTGTAAAGGCCAGCTGACGTTTGCCGTTTCACGTAAACGCGCTGCAAAATCTCTCCACGATCACGAGCCTTACTTAGCCTGCATAGTGTACATGAATTTATGTCACTTTGATTTGCATCTTGCTTTTATTTTCTAGCATGAGAAACTCATTTCCAGTGGATACATCACAGAGAATTTCCTCTGCATTGTGGGCGTCTCGTACGTCCAGTCCAAATTCTTACCAAGAGCTGCTACTCAAGGTAGCTGATGTTATATATGTTGTACTTTTTTTTTCACCAAAGCTTAATTTGTTGAATTAAACAGTTTCCTCTATGTACAATCGTTAAGATGTTCGCTGTTGCATGTATTTTTTCAGGGTCGCCTTTTTCGACGCTGGTATCAGAAAACGAGGCTAAAAAGACTTATCAAACAGGAGGACGATGTCAAATTACAAAGGTATTTTATAATTTGTTTAACTCATTAAAAATAAATCAGCATAATTTAGGTACCTGAGAGGTTGGTGCTGCCAAGAAATGCATTCAGGCGCAGCAGGTGAATGGTGGTCTACCTAGGCACCAGAACAGTGCTAACTGGTCAAAGACTACAAAGGGAACACGGAGATGGAGAAACACGCGGAACTCGTGAGTGTGTAAGATGACGCATTGCGGTTGAAATTTCCAGACATCCAGAGGGTCCCCAACATCTTTTTATGGATCCTGGATTGGCTTATTTGAAGGCCGGGGTCCGTGAATCAAGAGTAAGAAGGGAGCGAGATACGGAAATGTTATCATGAACGGGAAACGGGAATCGGCGATTCTGAGGGGCGGGATTCGGGAAATGATCACTTAAACGAACCCAGAACCAGGATGTCCTCTGATGAGAATTTGTAAAGAAATTGATCTTCTCAGTCCATGAAAACACCAGGCGTCTAGTCTATCTAGGCAATGGACTAAGACAAAAACTTATGATCGGGATCGGGATTGAGCGACATAAACCGTTGAGATTACGGGACTGAGAGAAAATTTTAGTCGGGATCGCGAGAATGAAAAACTATCGGGGATCTTCCCTGGAAGGCAATATGACGGCCTTAGGGGTAAATAAAACAGGATACCTCTTGCAAGTATTGTTTATCGTACATGTATAACGTAAATCTGGGCTGAGTGTTTTAGGCTTCCGTTTGCCCTACTCCAGGTGATAAATTTTTATCTAAAATTTTTTCAAATCCATTAATTCAAGTAATGGAAAGTTTATTAAACAGGAAAAACTTCTATGTTTTACAGACGCAACTACACTTACGCATACAGCCACAGAATATAGGTCAAAAGTGAGAGCAATTAAGGGAAATTAGGTTATTGGTTCATTTTTTTTTTTTTTTTTGCACCATTTTTTTAACAGTGCAGTCACATTCTGGCAAACAGAGACGCAACATAAATTTTTCGAAGCATGGAGAAATGCTAGGACTGTTCAGCTGGAAAAAGCTGACAAACTGCGAAGAAAGCTAATGCTACAGAAAGGATTGACTGCTCTGCGATTTGCTGTGAGTCAGCATAAACAATCCGTCTCTGAGGTACAGACGAGGGCTAGTGCCAGGATTACAGCCAAATACTGGCTAAAGGTGGGTAAAAGTCTATTGGCAAAAATTTATGATGAAATGCACCCTGTAATTGATGTAAGACGTACATGTATTTCCCAGTAAGTTTTTTGTTTTTTTTTTTGTTTTATAAAATAATTGAGATACACGTATTACGAACGCTCTAATTGGTCAGAAACTTATTGTTTGAGCATGGGAAACCCCTGATAATTTTTTAAAAGCAATCGACTGAACTTGTGAAGCAATAGATTGCACTTTCTGTAGGTTAACCGTTGTTATAGTTAACTTGGGATGTTGCATGTAAGAATTCAAGGAAAGGTTTTTCGATCACAAGCCGGAGGGAATGATTTGCAAACGTTTTTCGTGTCCTCCCAACCACACTCGTGGGTTATTACGCCGGTTGGCCGAGAAAGACTGAGTACGGTCTGTTGCTTTACAAGCAAAAAGTTGAATGATTGCGTTAAGCGTGGTAGATGAGTGAACCAGTGAACTGATATTATACTAATGTGATCTTGATAAATTAAAAAGTGTCAGCCCAACAAGATTATCATGAACTGTAATTCTGGAAATTTTCGAGTTAAAATATGCACAAATTTTTTCCAACGTGAACATGCATTGGGAAATCTCATCGCCTGTTTGAAAGCCTGTAATGTGTTGATGAAGGGTACATGGAGTTGAAAAGAACGTGCAACAAACTCATGTGAAGGGGTCATATTTTATATCCGTCGGTTTTTCTTTACGTTGTTTAGTGGCAAAAGTCTGTGCAAATGAAAGAGACTGTAAGACTGCGAGAAGCATTTGACAAGTGGCACTTGTTCAAAATGGATCAATACAGGTAACAATCTTTCCTCTTCATGAAAAGGAAATGAAGCACATTGGTGTTTATACACCCTATTTATTGGTTTAACATATAATACGCGCGGATTTCTTGCGAGTTACGGAGTATTTTTCGAGCAATTAGAAAAAAATATGCAAAAACAGCAAAGTGAACTAAGAAAAGAATTTGCAGCTACAGAAAGTTTTAAAAAGCTTTTTTTTTTTTTCTTATAACTGATCAAGGGGTGCAATGATGGAACAGATGGCTGACAGACACCTGTTGTCAAGAAACTATATTAAATGGAAGATAAAGTGCGATTTGGAGCAGAAGAATGGAGTGGCTTCTTTACACTACAAGTATGGGTCAAATTTCCTCTGTTTCTTTTACAAAAATTGTTGGTATTTTGACTCGCCGCACGGGCTCGTCAAAATTCGCCACAACTCGCAAAAATACTCAGCGCTTCTACACAAGAAAACGTTTAATAAGATTTATTATCCAACTACACCTAGACGAGTACGAATAACACCATAGACGAGTACAAATATCATGCGGTATTTGTACTCGTCTGTTGTAGTACCGGTTAAACAGGTTTTCTCGCATCGCGCAAGCGAAGAATTGGTTGTAGTTACGAAAAGAAAAAGTGGCGGACAATTTGAATCATAAATCCGACGACGAAGTGTCAGAATGGCTGGCAAATAAAGATCTAAGTTCATTTGATGAATCGAACGAAGAAAACAAGCTTGTCGACCAGAAAATTTCTTCATTTAATGAAGAAAATAGAAACAGCAACACAACAACGCGCCAATTCCGTTCCGCTTCGCAAACTTCTGTCACGCACTCCCCGTAAATAAATATCTGCGAAATTCGCCGCTGAAACAACAGGTTGGCGTGTTGGGTAATATATAACTTATTAGACGTTTTGTTGTGTTGTATCGCTGAGTATTTTTACTCGTTATTTGTATTTTGACTCGCCCTACTCGCTCGTCAAAATACGACACAACTCTCCTGCATCTATTAATTAGTTAATTTGGTTAGGCAGGGGACGTTAAAGAACCCACTCACGAGATTACTGTGATGTGGTCTGGCCTGTTTACTGGGAATTGGGGGGAGGGGGCATCTTCAAATACGTTTCCTTCGATTGTTTGTAAACTGCTGATGCAGTCCAGCCAAAGTCCCCCGAAAAGTGTTGTGATGCGCATTTGATCATATCCACATGTTAATTTGCGCAATATAAATATTAAATTATTATTAATTATTATTACTTTAGTTATGTGAACGATAATTTTTGTATAACGTGAACTGGAATTAGCTGAAGAAGATTTACTTCGCATAACTGGGAAATTCAAACCACATTTTCGTCGTTTTCGGGGTCTCGTTCACGAGCGTTTTCAAATGCTCACAATTCTTACCAGTTCAAACACATCAAGATTAACTTTCAAGGACTGTTTTTTCTGACCAGAATCGGGTTGCTGACAAGGAGCTGGCACAGTTGGAGACTATATGCTTCACAGAGAGTGGTCAAAACAAGACTGAAAGAAGTTGCGAGGTAAAGAAGCGGAAAAAGAAAAATACAGTTTTAAAGAATAAAGTAGAAAGGTTTTAGGAACAATTTGCTTTCAAAGTAGACTTTGAAACTAGATTGGTAAGAGAGAGAACGCAGATATTGGAATAGAAAGAGATGATGAATATTTTTTACCAGATAAGGAAAAAGAAAAGAGAAAGATCTAAGTAAACTTAGTGATCGGATTAAAAGCTCAGACGTTCCCATTTCGGGGTCAAATGCCTTACCTACTAGATTGCGAGCTGTCCCTCTTTTTCGGCGAAGTCTGTCGCGTGAGCACACACACAAAAAAAAGTGAGCGAAAACAAAACACAACAACAACGCAATGTAAGCGCGCTGCGCAAAACTCAGGGAGTGATACACCTCACTCCCAGTGTACCGCGCGGCGCGCTAACGTCAAGTTTTTACTTCGCGGAATGTTTCTTTTACTCGCGCGACGTACTTCACAGAAATGAAGGAACTTCTCGTGGTCTAATGGCTTACTAGTTACAGAAACCTCGTTTACTCTCTAACATCAGCATGCAAGTTCTCCAAACTATTCTCTATGCATTTCAGGGCAGCCGCCCTGTGCTTACAGGGAGCCGTTGTCTAATAATCGAGCTCTTCTTGAGTTCACGATCATTTCCTGTTTTCTCACGACCATCGTGTTTAACTCAGGGATGATATGGTGGGAAGAAATTGGATGCTGTGTTAAAGGGTTGAATGAACAGTACTGTATGTAGCAAAGAAGCTCACAAAAATATGGCTGCCAGCTGGAAATTTATTCTTAATCGATGTTCACTGTACAATTGTTATTTTAAGTACGCCACTTCATTATGTAACAAATTTGGTTTTCTCTGTTCTCTCTGCAGAGTCCACTATGAAGAACATTTACAGGCCAGGTTATTTACCGTTTGGAAGGAAAACACGCGCAAAGCAGTTGTCGCAGACAGTTTGAAATCGTAAGCTGCATGTACAATCATTTAATTCATGAAGTTAAGAGATCAGAACTCTTCTCGATGGAGAGTCCCAGAGTCAAAACCAAAGGAATTACATCTGCCAATCAAAAGAAAGGACAAAAATGATTTTTACTTTAATTGCCAATGAGCTCAAAGTAAAAAAAAGAAAAAAAAAAAAAAGCGCGGTAAAACGGCGCGGGCGGCCAAGTCTAGGTTGGTTTAACTTTTGCCTCTGATTGTTTGAAAGAGTGGCGTGAATTTTCCAGACCAATCACAGGGCGAAGTAAAACAATACCAAGGCTTTCCCGGAATTCGTTTGACTCTCTTTCACACAAATTGATTTCTGTGCAGTGTAACAAGGAACCTTGTTGTGGAACAGAATAAAAGAAATGATAGAGGGGCTTGGAGAATGTTTTTCGTCTTGGTTTTTCCCCATTTGATTGAGAAGTACATTTGAACTTTTTATATTTTTTTAAATTATTTTCTTTGTACCTTGTTTGTTTCATTGTTAGCATTCGTGGTTAAGTAACTTGTGTTCCTTTGAATTTTTACAGGAAACGCGTACTTGTAAAAGCTTTCTATTGCTGGAAGAACTGGACACAATACGCCAAGTGAGTTAAACAAACTCCGCTCAGTCGGTGAGACTAAAAAATTGGCAATCTGTTCGTATTAGTATGCCTCGACGATTGGAGCGATTGAGGAGTAGGTCCAAAGCCATTGTATTTACGGACAATATTTTTGCGCTTTCGCTTGCATTACGCAAAACCAAAGCTAAAGCAATTACATTGGCCAATTTGAACAAAGATGAACATTATAAGGAGCCAATTACACGTAAATTGGCAGGAATAGCACGTAACTGAACTTAAGCGTGGGAAAACAAGCATCGCCACGACTGGCGTGGTTGTAGCTTTGCATCCGGTTGGATGGTTGAGAGGCCGACGGCAGTTCTCTGGACCAATCAAAGTGCGTAACAAAGCGAAACCAATGAAATCCTCTCGACGCCTGATTACAATTTGTTTTTTATGGTTGTTAACAATCGAAAAAGTTGAAGTTTAAAAAACATCTTACGCGCTTGTATTTTTTCACTCCAAAAGTTGCCCGATTTGCACGTAGTATTTCTCTTTAAACCATGCAAAGTTACTGCTTTGTAATCTGCCTATATAAAGAAAAACACCCACAGATATGGCATTGATTTTGTTATTAATGTGTCCTTACAGGATTATTCGGCTGAGGTTCCAGAGCATGTGCAAAGAATATCATCGTCACAAGTTGGTAAAACAATCTTTTCATCACTGGAAAATCCGTCTGATGAACCGACAGGCTGATGAGTGTTACAGAAATGGACTTCAGATGTAAGCTAAGAATAAAGTACGGTCGACTTTTTGTTTGTCCTTAACGTTTGGTTACCTTGCGTGTTTATTCAAATATTACAGCGCACCAAGACTGTGTGGCATAAAACAAAAAGTAAAACTAATATAACAGCCAATAAAAAAAAGTGGATATCACAAGGACACAACGAACAAACTGCTTCAAGCGCGGGGAAATGTTATATGCTAACTTAAATAGGTGGGTCTTGAGGACCCTTTTAAAACTACTAATATTGTCAGAAAGCCTAATTTTTCGAGGGAGCTCGTTCGTTTAGCTTTGAATCTGATTGGTTTAGAGAGCAACGTGAGTGTTTTTTTGGAGCAATCACAGAGAAAAGTTAAGCAAACCCAAACAAGTGCCAAATTACTTTCGGAAAATCAGTTTAAAAATCAATGTGCTGATTCAAAGCGGAGAAGGTCGATTTTTGTGCAGTCCGTTTTAAACAAATGTTTTTTTTTTTTCGTATGTAGGAAGATTTTCAAGTTGTGGTTTTTGCGATATAAGAGGAAAGTGATTCATCGACATCTGTGCAAGGCATTGGCCAAAAAGGTATGAAGAGAGATGATTCAGGAAAAGTGTTTTATAAATGATTTGTTTTCAAAGTGTCAATCGGGGCAGCCAATCAGCACGGAACCAATGAGAACATAAATTAAAAGGAAACAAAGTGCCTGAAATGCAGGGAAACGAGTGACTTAGTCGCGATTGTTTAAAGTTTTGAATCTAATTGGTTGAGAAAGTGGCCGCCGCGCGCGAGCCCAGAGGGGAGTGAAGAAACACCAACGCCTTGGGGCTCGACACCTTTACAATTTCTCAGGAGACAAATTATTGTCCGGTCTAGTTAAGAGCAAACTTGAACGTGTCGTTCTTTTTAAATTTTCTATATTTGGACATTTGTTTTTTGCTGTGTTATTAACGGCTGCTGTATTTCGAAAGCTCAACAACTTTTTCTTTATTAAATATTCTGCGCATAGTTTGTCACCGCTTTATGACAATTTCAGATCGCTTTCAACTGATCTCTTCTTTGCTAGTGTCCAGTAAAGCTGATTAACCCTTTACTCCCTTCATTAACGCGTCGACGCTGCTGTACCGACACAGTAATTTAAACTATGTGGTTGTTATTTCAGGGGAAAAAGCGCAGGTTCTTCAACAAATGGTCAAATTTTACGAAGCAGCAAATTGAGAGAAGAAGAGCCTTTGTTGGTTCTTTAGAACGGATGCTTGTCAGCAGCATGTTGAATAACTGGAGACAACACGTGAAAGAGAAAAAAGCTCTCAGGTTAGTTTGTAGATCCCAGATGACACTTCAGTTACTACTGGCCCGACAGTTGGTGTGCTGGAGCCTGGGTTGAGAGACCTGGGTTTGAGGCCTGATCGCTTTTTAGGGGCCAAACACTTCACTCGCAAAATCTCAGATGCAATATAGAATCATCTGATTTTTTTTTTGTTTGCGCGATAGAGTAAAGACTTGATGAAGGACTCGTTGTTTGGAATTGTCATGGCTCTGACAACTATTTTGTCTTTGTCTACAGGAGCAAAGAACTTCAGTTGATCCAGAAGAAGAATCACATCGCTTCGCGAAAAATGGTGGATCGCTGGTTGTTTGCTATGCAGGTGGCTAACTTCAGAAAGAAAGCGAGAGTGAATTGGTCCATACGCTGTACAAGGTAAGTTGCGACTGCGAAAGAGTTCTTAGGATAAGGTTGTGAGAACTTAAAATGCTCCAGCGAGAAGGAAAACGTTGTGAACGAATGAAAATTTACTTGTATGTACGCTTCAGAGCTCTTAAGGCGAAAAAACGCGGGAAAATGTGAGCGAATGAAAGTTCACATGTTTGCACTTCAGAGCTCTTAGCGCGGGAAAACGCTGGAAGATTCTTGACCGAGACGCGCGTGGTTTCAGTTTTGTTCCTGATTAGTTGAGAATCTATCGAAATTTTTTAAACAAATCACAGAGACAATGAAAAGAAATACGAACTGTTTCGTTGTAGTTCATAGACTTCAGGTAGGGATTGTCTGAAGGATCAAAATCGACGAGGGAGTGGTGAAGTCTGACTTTCACAGGCCTTAAAGAAGAGTTGATGGTTCATGAAGTTCTGTTTCAGTTTATAAACAATAGGAAAATTGCGTTGAAATGCTGTCCACTTTAAAATGGGACTTCCCTTGCCTAATTTGTAAATATCTTTTTGGAACTGCACCCACAAGACAGAGTCAACTAAATTCAATTTGTTTGCCACAGGAAAGCATGTGAAGCTTGGAAACTTCTTTTGAAGAAGAAGTACTTGGAGCAAAGATTGATGGTGAATCGCGATATCTGGCAGCTAGTGATGATGAAAAGTAAGTTTAGGGAAGCATTCTCAAACATAAACCAAAGTTTGTCGTCTGTTTACACTTTTTCGAGGGGGTCCTGGTAGAATGGGGGGGGGGAGGGGGACTTTCTAGAGACAGGGTTTTTTGTTAGTGGGGTCTTTTTTGAGAGGGGGCTTTTTAGAGAGGCCCTTACTAGAGCTCAGTTCTGATTTGTGTTCGTCGTTTTTGTCTTTATGTTTTTATTTCTTCGGGTACCTGATTATAGTACAATCCCGTGTTTAGGAATTTTTAGGACTTGGAAACAGCAGAAGAGAAAAGTAGACACAGAGAATGAAAAGGTTTTCAGAGCAAGAGCTATCTTGACAAAGAACTACAAAGCTCGTGTCCTTCAGGCGTGGAGAGTTGTTAACCAGGAACAGCAGATCATTTCACCCATGGTTGCTCGGAGAGAAAGGAAAGAATTGGCCAGGTACGACACCGGGAGGTTACTGTGAACTGCCGCTCAAAAGCTCCTAGCAGTCCAAAGCAGCCTCCCAAGCTGAGAAAATTGCTTCAAACGAATATAGATGTTTTTTTTGTTATGAATTTCTCGGCCAGACTTCGCTTTTTCCATATGCGCACCAACATCCTTGGATAAAAATTTAATTGCAGTTTGCACATCGTAGTCGTTCCATTTACTTGTATTCGTTCTTGAATGTTTTCGTTGCATCCTTTGCGCTCATTGTTTTGCTCATATATTTGTTTGGTGTTTTGAAATCGATTAATTGTTTCTACAGAGCATTTGAAACATGCCCTGCCATAAAATCAACATGTGGTTGAGTTAAACAAATGGAATATATTTTGCATAGTAATTACTTAAGAAATGTTTGAAATGTCAGCTTTATAAATTATTTACGGTGGCCATTTTACCTTATCAACTAAATCGATAAAAATTAAATTGTTTGGTGATACTCCCCACTGAAACAGCACCATAGTTTCTTTAGAAATTTACTACCTTTAGTCCAACCTCTTAATAGTTTGTTGTCTGTTGGGTTTCTGAGTTTCACTCCTTAGGCTAGTTATCTGAAAGGCCTTTAAATTAAATACAATTTCAGGGTTTTTGATGCTTGGAGGCTTCACATTCATCGACAGAAAAACATTGTTGATCAGAAGACAAGAGCGACAGAGAAAAGACTCGACAAGTACTTTCTGTTTTGGAGGTAATGGTTAATCTCCAATTGTTTTGAAATGTTTGAAATGTTTCAGTCTAAAGAACCAACATTTCTTTCCATTTTAGCTTGAACCCCTTCAATCAAAAGCCAATCGAAAGAAGGGAAAAATGCTCTTTACTTTAATAGCCAATCAACTCAGAGTAAATAAAAGCGCGGAACCCCACGGGCGACCAAGTCTAGGTTGGTTTTAGTTGTGCCTCTAATTGGTTGACAGAGTGGCGCGAATTTTCTGAACCAATCACAGGGCGAAGTAAAAGAGAACCCCTTCACTCCTAGGATTAAACAAATAGACTTTATCCGAACCAAACCTGTTCACTTTCTGAAAGAAAGGTAACGAGAAAAAAGAAAATTACGAACTTTTAATTTTTTTGTGATTGGGCACCAAATTCTCGGAGTCTAAAGCATTAGATAAACATGACATACAATGCGAAGAATTGACATTTAGATCTAGGGAGTGTTAAAGTTTAAGAATCGGATAGGAAACATGGGATGGTCAACTGACAGTTTTTGTTCGAGTTTTAGCTACAGTAAACATTTTCTGTTTTATTCGTTTCTTAACATTTTCGTATTATTTTTTTTTTTTTGCCACAGAGATCGGGCTTATCTTCGTGTAAAAGAAAGGGAGGTAAACGAGACGGTACTTCGGAATAAAATATCAAGAGCTTTTACTGCTTGGAGAGGTAAGGTCGGCCGATAAGTCACGCCGGCAAAAAAGTCTTTGAGATTACTGAATATTTGCTCACAGAAAAATTGAATTAACCCCTTGCAATGTGCATTTCCAGGTTACTTAAAGGATCAGCGATACGCCAAGCTGAAAATACGAGCGCGACGATTTGAACTAATGGAAAAGTTCTACTCTTTATGGAAAGAAAAAGTTCAACACCGAGCAGAGGAGAAGGTCGAGGAGACTGGAAAAGAGGTAAGACTTTTATCTCTACCCAGAGAAGCTTTCAAGGTTTAGTGAAAATCTTCCGCGAGATTCAAAGTATACTGGATATTTTTAAGATAATGGTGGAAGTTTCAATTTCTTATCATATTGAAAACAAAACCTCTTTAAAATTAACTTTCAACGCACTTTAAAACACGTAGTAGGCCTGTTTTAAAGTGCGTTGAAAGTTAATTTTAATGAGGTTTTGTTTTCAATATGATAATGAATGATACTTTCTTAGCTTCGACAATCAAAATTTCGCAAAAAAGTTTCAATTTCGTTTTGTGTAAATTGCAGGCTCGAGGTTTGTTATTGGTCAAATGGTCCTTTAGAGTTTGGAGAGTGTCTACTGACCGTCAGAGAGCGTATCGCTTGAGACAACAAGAAATTGCGGACAACTTCTACAGGGACACAGTTACCAGATAAGCCTGGGTAGTTTGGCTGAGACGTTACCGTGTAGAGGACTGGGCTAGGTAAGAAAAATTTGATAAGGGGAAGTGGTAAGATTTTGTAAATCTATTATCGCCGCGCCGAAATTTCCTCAGGATATATTTTGTCAGTGTCAACCAGTTAAGGACATGGTTTCCTGATTTTTGCTTGCAATATAATAGGTGTGATTTGTTATGTGTGATGTGTGATGTATTTTGCGTCATGTGTGATGAATGATATGTAATGTGTGATGTACGGTTTGATATCCATTATGTGTGATATGCGATGCGTGCTGTATCATATTTAGTTAACGCCTCCACTCTAAGGCTCCCCTGCTGTTTTAACGCAAGGGATCAGTTTCTTCTTTAATGGACTTGACAGATTTATGCGTCATTCATCACGATTCGACACTTTTTACTTTTGCAGTGCAACAGTTTGCAACATTCTATTTCTCATTGAAAATGAGAAGTAGAATTAATAATTCAATTAATAGAATTAATAAATAAGATAGAATTAATAATTCAATTCGCCATTAGTTCGAATTCAAGTATTTTCAATGTTATAATGCATCGTATACAATGTTTCGTTAAATCTCTGATTTACGTAATATTGGGTGAATCCAATTTTTTTACCACCCTTCAAACAGAGATCACGCTCGTACAAAGAAGGAAGACTTTCTGCGAAGGTTATTCCAAGCATGGCACCGTTTCACCAGAGCCATACTGCAAATGGAGATGCAGAGATTTGCCACCTCAATGTCCGGTCTGGATTCATCCTTTGGATCTTTCTCTCCTTCTCCTTTTCGCCAGCCGTTAGCTTCAACCTTAGGCTCGACTCTTGGCTCCACTGTATCTGACGCTCTGACTTCCTCGGGATATGGTGCCTCGATTCGGAGGGGATCTGGTAGCGTGTTTACATTTGGGTTAGCACTTAAGGAGAGGGATGATGATGTAAGTATCACTACAACTTGTCCCAAGTCAGTGCTGATAAATTTAAGTGATCACGCTGTTGAATTTCGTCGTTTTAAAGTCAGAATTGCTGTTAAACAGCATAGTTTTCAGTTCCTTTTGAAATTACTTTTCTTAATCTCTCAGCTGATAGGTCAATACACTGATTTTTTCCACAGAATGAAAAGTCAGAATTTATTTGTACGGCATAATGAACGGTATTACGCGAGAGACGAGCACAGTAGCTTTCATCTGAATGCTCACACTCAAGGGTTTGCTCCACAGACTGATACGTTAGAACAGCCCTTTACATCATAACGAACAATAGCACGTGGGATAACTGCTCGGAATCAGATTTCCGCAGTCCTATACTTATTATACATACAGTTCGTGGATAAAGAACACGGGTCAATGACAGTTTACTGAGTTACTGCGCACCAACCTTTCCCTTAACCAAATAACAGTCACCCGATAGCGAGTTAAGGCTCAGGTTTTTATCCAAAGACTGAAAAACAAGAACCACTTAGTGTAGCACAATAAAAAAAAGAAAAAAACTTTCACGTTAAAGTACTGCGCAATAGCGTTTATTTGAATGCGAATTCAGGGATGTTTCATCCGGGCCTAAAAACCTAAAGCAACGTGGAGTCCTGATATTTTTGTAATTATTTTCAGACGGCCTCATTGCCAGGAAGAATCGATGGTATAGACCAGCTTTTGAGGCCAGAGAGTCCCATTGTTCGACCCGTTTCGCCCATATCTATCCTAAGAGACTCTCGGCCGATGTCCCCCCTGCCGTTCAATTCAAGTCAAACCAGTCTCGGTCCCTCCCCTTCCCCTTCCCCTAGTCCTGAGCATCCCCTGCCGTCAACCCCGCCCATCAGATTAGAAGACTTTTCTCCCGTGAAGTCTGAGGACGATACAGGCATTCACTCTGGAAGCAGCGTGTCAGATCACGAGGTAAGAAGCTTTCGGATGTGAGGTGAGGTGGGGGGGGGGGCACATTGTAAACATGGACAGAGGGGAGACGTGCCGTTCATATTTATACACGTCGGGAATTGTGGCAAGTTGTGGCTTTTGTACCGTTGTTTGACTTGATAGTGTGAAAACATTTCTTGCGTGGCAGGATCAGCGAGCATAAAAGGCACATTGTCTCCTACCTCCTGATTGGCAACCGAGCGAGAATTCAATTATATATCCAGCCATGCTGACCATGGTTTTGTCGATAATAAATGTTAACAACATATTGGAAATAGTACTATGTGTGAGTTGTTATTTGGAGAGTGGATGTATGATGTATGGTGTTTTTTGCGTTATGTGTGAGTTTTTTATATGGAATGTGTAATCTGTTTTGTGTGATGCGTGCCGTATGATGTGTTACGCGTTATGTGTGATGTGTGACGCGTCAACTCGAATTTACATCAAGCTTTTTCCTCAAACGTAAGGGATCAGTCCCGTCTTGTATGGATTTAATCGTGCTAAAACTGGTTCAAATTTAAGCTTACATCCAGCCATCCTGACTTAAGAGTAAATATGGCATGTGGTCAAACACAAATTTCTCTTCATTAATGGTACAGAAAGTATGCCTCATTAATGGTACAAAAAGTGTATTAAACCCTGTAATCAGAATTTTGTTCCTTATCCTTAGGACTGTGACCGTATGAGCACTGCTTCATGTACGTCCTACACCGGGCGTAGCACACAAAGTGACCCACGTGATCGTGAAGTCATGGCTACAGAGACCATACTGCATTGGAGGAATCTGCCTCTGAGCCTGACCTTTAGAACGTGGCTAAAATTCACCCGCCAAAGAAAACTACAAAAGGAGCTTTTGAACTACATCACAAACAACAAGACCATGGAATTGATGGCGAAGACTTTGGTAAAATGGAGAAGAGAGCTGTATACGAAAGTCACTGCAAGACAACACTGGGTGAGTTGGTTTTTTTCCTGCTGATGTTGTTGGTTGTGTGTTTATTTGTTTGTGGTTATTACAAGTGAAAAATTGTTATTTATATAAGGTAATGTAATTTTGTCGCAAAAAGCGGCCTTTTTATGAGTGAGTATCTGAGGACTTCCATAAAATGAACGTACTTACAAAATCATCTCTTCTTCATAAGAGACGAAATCACTGAGTGGCTATTACGCTAAGCTTCGAGGGAAACGCTTCGAGTTGAAGCCCTAACTAGGTATAAGCAAATGTAATCCGGTTCGTCAATAATCCGAAATTGCACCAGTTTCCTTCACTCCGCTGTGATTGGTCTCAACCAATCAGATGTAAAATCAAAACCACTCACGACTTGGTCGCCCACGTTTTCCCGCGGTTTGGGCAGTTCTGTTGTTTTTACTTTGAGTTATTATAGTCTCTTCAATGCATTTTCCTTTGTTCTTTTTGACCGTTATGATAACTTTGGATTTGGATTTACGACACTCACTCGAAAAGTGCGCTCAGATGTTAAGTGCCGTTGTCGCTCTTGAATTGGACGTTTGCTTGAAACTCACAGAAGCATTTTGTTTAAGTCTCAAATTCATTTTAGCAATTCAGCTGCGTTAATGAAGTCCGTCTTTCTTTGCTACAGCTTGACTCAAGCCGTCTTAAATACCTAAGGATCTGGCACGAGTACGCTGTCACAAAGAGGATCCAAGAGGAGAGGAAGATGCTGGCTGATGATCACTGCAGGCTCATAAGGCTCAAGGGAGGCTTTCAGAAGTGGAAGAAAAAGGTGCGTCTAAGACAAGTGGTTCAGATCTAAATATTTTCTAATTTTTTTACAATCCCATCCCATCCTTAATTTTTCAAGATCCAATGATAAATTCCCGCCCCCCCCCCTCTGACTATCATACGTTACCCTGAAAATTAGAAAGACGATTTTGTCTTTTTTCGAAATAACACTCTTAAACTGATGGGCTTGTCTGTTCTCATAACCTGTTTTCATGCTACCATACTGGAATTGCATGGAGAAGTTACACTTTGATCTTTTTTTTGAAGGGTTAACCATACTCGCCTCCATTTGGTTTCATTTGTACTCCATTGTCGTTTGCCCGCTGCAGCAAAGAATAGGCCAAGAGATTATTCATTGAAAGGCCCTTCTCTATAACGCATCTATGACGTAGCTTTTCTGTATCAACTGTAATTTTTTGTCTTTTTTCACGACTTAACTTAAAGACCGGACTCCCTTCAAGTGTTACTAATCCATCTGAATCACAAGAAATGTATTTGGAAAATCATTAATACAGTGACTGAATTTTTTTATGTTTTATATGACTCTTAATGTTCCATAGTGCTTAATTCTTTCTTCAAATTTATTCTGTAAATTATCATTGATAGTATTATTATTATGACTATTACTTGACCTATTATTATTATTGTTATTATCGAAATTATTAATTTTTTTTCTTTTGCTAATGCACTGTCATTTCGACTGAAAAAGAACTCTATAAAAAAGTGCTATTATTATTTCATTTTATTTTTTTTAGAGCTCCGCTAAGAAGAAGCTACAAGAGCTAATCGGACAGTGGCAAAAGAAGGCCATGGGTTAGTGTTGAGCGGAGTTTAAGTTTTTGCAGGTCGTTAACCTCACACCCAAACACCAATATGCATGCTCTCCATGGTGTTCTCTCTACATTTCTTTAGGTGCTGATAACATGAATATTCTGATGATTTGCCATTCAATACTGAGATTTGTCAAAATTGTTATACGCGTTGAAAACACCGTGACTTACTAGTTTGTGTGCTTGTTTGTAACTCGTGTGACGCAACTTGGTCCTGACAGCCTGAAAAAACATCACCTAATCGTTTTAACGATCGCTCATGCGCAGACGTCTGATCGCTGTGTTGCTTCACACTGTCTGAATCAGCAATGTTGAGCATTTGTCAAGAGCGTAGGACAAACATTTTATAACACCTTCCACTTTTTTCTTCATCTTTAGTAACTGAGAAAGACAAAGGCTTTACTCAGGTCATTCAGAAAAAGCAAAACGCAAGGTTTTTGCGGCACACTTTCACCTACTGGGTGCAAATGACAAGGAAGAGTCAAGAGGCCAAGCGACTGTATACAGAGAGACTTCTACCAAAGTAAGCCGAATCTTTCAGTTACGGGAAAATTTCTCTAAGCAAGTACTTTGCAAAAGAAGTTTTATGTGTGGTAACTGTCTCTTTTTTCTTACAGGTGTTTTAAGGCGTGGCATGTCCTTGCCTCCACCCGGGTTTCTAATCGGAAGAAAGTGGTGCTGTTTGGAGAAAGAAGGCTCTTGACCATGGTAAAAAATGCTTAAGTGTGATGTGTGATGCGTGATGTATTCCTCGTTGTTTGATTTGTGATCTATAATTTGTGATTGGTGTGCTGTAAGGTGTGTGACGTGTCATTTGTGTCATGGTATGCGTTGTGTGTGATGCGTTATATGTGGTGTATGATGCGTTTTATGTGATATGTGATGCGTTATATGTTATGCGCGATGTGTTACCTTTCGTGTGATTTGTCACGCATGATTTGTCATCGTTGTGCTGTCAGATGCATGACGTGTTATTTGTGTTGTGAGATGCATTAATACGTGATGTGCTATGTTAAAGATGTTTCATTTGACACGAGCTGGAATTTGAGGAAACCACGGCCCGCTATTGCTTTAAGGCAAGAGATAAGTTCTGTCGTAGGAATCTCAATTATCCAGCCTGTTCTTCACGCTGTTTGTAACCTCCAGTTCTCTCTTGCAGGCGTTCAGAGAATGGCAAACTCGATTCCAGGCCATCAGCCGTGTGGACGAGTTTATCGAGGTCAGGGCAACATACTTAGTTGTAACGATTTGAACAAATAGCGGAATACCTATGCGAAGAAGACAGAAACACGACAAATTTTAACGTAATCCTTATGTTTTATGTTCTCAGATTAAGGAAGCTGATCGACTGTTAGAAATTCTTCGAGTGTGGCATAACTGGGCGAGTGGTGAGTACCTTCTTAAGCCTTGAAATGTTTAAAAGTCCTTTCGATTATAGATCGGATACTGATGAAGCAGCTTGTTTCAGAATCTGAAGAGATTAAAAATTTTGTGTGTTACTAACTCGTTCCTCTTTCAAAATGATAAAGACCACGTCGGACATGTTTGATTTCTTTTCTGATTGCTGCTTGTTAGGTATGAACACGCGGAGGAAACAATCTCGTCTGTTCCGTCGCTCTGTGGAATTGAAAATCACAAGAGAGATTTTTATCAACTGGTTGACAGGCGCTCAACAGCTTCAGATAGCCAAACGAACACACGAATTGCACATTATGAAATGGTAGGAAAAATTAGAGTATTTTCTCGATAAAACGCTAGATTTTTTAGCATTTTTGATACGGCATTTATTCAAGGACTGCCTTTATTTCAAAATCGTGTTTTTTTTTATGTCACTGTCATCGATTACCTTAAAACATTGGTTACTGGTAAGTCGGACAGAGATGCGTTTTCTTGAATCATGTTAATGAAAAGATTATTGGAAAGCAGCTTTATAAGGTACTTTTTTCAAGTTTATACTGATGGTTTCCAGCTGTTTTCACAGCGTGTTTGTCGGCTGGAGGGATGTGGCTCTGGAAAGGACAAGAAACAAACGCGCAATGCAAGAGTTCAAGAAAAACGTTGACGCAAACTTGGTAAATAATGCTATTTCTAGTAAAGATTATGTGGCTCTGCTCTACTATATTGACTGATTAACTGACTGGTTAACCAACTAATCGATAAATCGATCGATAAGTGACGGGCTCAATAACTCTTTGAATCTAAAAATTTTCACTCTTAAAATTCTGAAACTTTTCCTTGTTTTCTCAGCTTGCTCGAAGCTTCCGTTTCTGGCAACAGCTTCTGGCACACTCAGAGTTATCGCGGGCTCACACTCAACACCGTGATCATAATGCACTAAGGGAATGTTTTGAGGAATGGAGAAGTTACACGCTGGAGATCCGGGCAGAGAAGTTTTTTGTCATGGCGATGCAAAAAAAGGTACGACCTTACTTGTTTAAAGCGATATAGATGTCCAGCTGCCTTAAAACCCCTGTGTGTTGGTATAAGTCAGTCGTAAGCAATTAAACTGTTTTTTTTTTTTTTTAAATGTTTTGAATGTTATCTTTTCCTATTTCCTTTTTTTTTTTTTGGCTTCAAGACTTGCGTAATTTCTCGCGTTTTCACTAACCTTATTTTAACCAATTTTGTATCAGAAATGAAATAATTCGTGAATTTTGATAAGCGCGGAGAAACATTCATAAATGAATTGAAAGCAAAAACTCAAACATAATATTAATCATGTGCATCGTAATCAATTAGCGAGACTAAGTTTTGCTAGTTTTAATAAGAATTATTTTACGTGTCCAGAAAATTTAATTAATTCTCTTTAATTTGTTTACTCACTTTCGTCCAAACTGAATAGAAACTGCTTCTTTCTGTTACATTTTGGCAGTAATTTTCTCTTCTTTTTTCTTTCTGTCACAGCTATTGTTTATTAAACATCAAATTGAAGGGTTTTTTTTGTTACCCGTGGCTTAACTGTCAATAAATGATTAATTTGGTCCAGCTCAAGTTTGTGTTATAATTGATTTTGACGCAATACAATTTGATATGATTATCGTCGTTAGCTGTCGGTATATTTAGCTGCCGCGAGTTAAAATTGCAACTTACTCGTTTGAGTGCTTGGTAGGTATTTAAAGAATACTATTATAGCTTTTTGTTTTATGGTAAAAGCACTTTATTTCCTGGGTATCTTTCGCCCAAAATTTCGCCATGTTTAAATCTTTCTTTTTTAACCTTCTTTTCCACTTACGTCGGGAACGAATTTACGAAAAGTCAAGCCGCTTTGAGTAGTGTCCTAATAGCATAAAACTTATAGTTTTCAGATCGCGTTACACCGTTTTTGGTTCGTGTTTTACGATACTGTGTTCTAAGAATTTTGTTTATGATTCTTGGGTTGAGGAATGTCTGTATGCGTTCTATCTTTCAGATGTTCGTGTGTTGGTACGTCGAATACACGTCCCGAAAAACCGTGAGTAATGTTCATTGCATTTTCATGGCTCTTTAAAATAACTGAAATTGATATTAAAGTGAGCTTGAAGTATTTGCTGGGAAACCATCAGAGCGGACGAAGCTCCATTACAGTGGCAAGCCGAAAAGAGCTTTGAATTGTCAAACGGTGTTCATTCGATGTAAACCATGAAACACGAATTCACTTTTAGATTTATGGCAAAGAAAATGTGTAGTATACAACAATTAACTTAATGAGTTGCAATTAAAGGCTTACCGAGCGCCAAACAACGACTTTCTAATTTCTCCGTTTGTAAACGCTTTCATTGAACTGTAATTTTTTTCTGTTTTAGACCCGTCGTCTTATTCATAGTTGGAAAAGTATAACAGAAGGTATGCAATAATGTTTGTTTTAGAATATGTTCAATAATGGCCAGTGCTCTATAGTTTAGACGCGAACAAGAACAACAAAACTGGCTTACTAGTAAATTTTTCGCCCAAAGACTTGTTTTAGTTGCCTGTGGCAGCCAGGCTTTGCCAGTACACAGCCCTACTAAACGTGTACCAAATTTGATACAGGAATAATTCGTCAATCGTTTCTAAGTCAAAGAATAAGCTATGTGTGTATAAACTTATCCGGTTTACAAGCCGTTTGCGAGAATATTCCCATACGCGTCTGCGAGCTAGAGTCGTCAACAAATCTGCCCTTTAAAACATGACAGATACGTGTGGGCTAAGTCTTAGTTCCTCTCTTTTTCAAATTTCATTGCAGAAGCTAAAGTATTAAACAACAGAGCCATGCACCTCGCCGAAGGGTCGGAAAAGAAGATGTTACGGCGTATGTTCGATTACTGGGTGCAGGAAGCTCATAAAGTACAGAAAGCAAAGAGTCATGCAAGCGGAAAGATGATGCGAAGGTACTGATGGGAAATTTAGTGGGAGATACAGTGACCAAATACTTTAGTGCGTTGGACTCCCGATCGAGAGGTCTGGGTTCTAAACCTAGCTGGGTCATTTTGTTTGAGGGAAAAACGCTTAACTTTCACAGTGCCTGACTCTACCCAACAAAGATTAGAATGGGTACCGGCAACTTGTCAGGGAAGCCGGATGAAATACTAGCGGGGGGGGGGACTTTGCGATGGACTGGC